TTATGCATACATACATATGTATTTCGATTAAATCTTGTTCATTAAAAATACCAAAAATCAACACGCAAGCAATCTTCAATAATTCGAATAATAAAGTCCTATATTATCCAAAAGTTTGCCTTTTTCTTATAGTACATATTTGTTATACAATTCATACGTTAATATCATGCATTTTTTATATATTCTAACATAAACATACCTGGATTATGTGAACAACTGCCATTTAAGAGAAAAGGTATAAACGAAAAATTATATAAGATGTGCACGAAATTAAAATACAAGATCAATACAGCATTAAAAAATGAATCATTCAAAAAAGTATAATGAGCAATTGTTAAGACGGATTTCTTGACGGAGGTTCGCAAATGCATTTTATTATTTAGCTTCCCATCCCATTAAATAGTTTCCTATGCAAAACTTCCGTCCATAACGCTCATATGACATTTTTTATACTCATAAGGGTACACATTTTAAGGGGATGTATCTTAAAAAATCCTGAGAAAATCTTACCCACAAAAAATATAAAAAAAAGACATACACACATACTTTCATGTATTCTATTTTTTATGACATATGCATCTACACTACATACAACTACTTCTTAAAGTAAAACCTTTCTTACTTGGTGGTAGATACAAACAATCTTGTTATAAATAGGGAAGAAAAAATACACACAATGCTTTTGTATCACCCATCCCGGAATAAAATTTGCATAAAAAATGCCGTTACACAAAATAAAAAAGACAGGCGCTACCTAGAAAGGATGTGAGATACGAATGTGATTGTAAACGGACGGGACACCTTATAATTATGTAGTCCTTATTTTTATACCCTACACCACTTTAGTGAGGAGGGTATATATTAGCCATGTCCGTCCGTCTGGCAGCCATGTAAACCTTGTGCGCAAGGTATAGTTCACAATTTTCAAGAAAATTAGATGAAATTTGGCACATACACCGAAGCCTAGCCCCAACAGCCAAATAACAGAACCCCACGAAAAGAGCTTCTGAGCTTATAATTATGTTAAATATACCTGAATATCGATAAAAAAAATGGCAGAACTAAGATTTGTGCAAACCTTGATGACCTTGCCAAATTTCAGAAAGATCGGGCCTCATTTGACCCCGGCACCCATACAAAATCCCCTTCATAAAATGACTTGAATGTTCCAAAATCAATTATAAACACTAATACGATTAAATTCATTTTCACATTTGCCTATCAATATTTGCCCCTAGCACCCTTATTAGGTCTCTTTCAGAAAATTAGTTTTTCGTCCCTAAATTGCTTAAATGTATCGGAAACAAGGTAATATTGAAAATAAATGCTTTATTATGAAAAATAAATCACATTTAATATTCACATCTGGTGTAAGGTATCTATGGTCGGTCACGGCCGACTATACTTTCTTACTTGTTTATTTCTTATTTTGTTCGTGATTTTATTGCACATGTGTATGTGTTACTCATATGAACTACATAGTTAGAGTATGATCTCAATTTGCACAACTGATAGGAAATTAACTAATTAAGATTTGTACAACTGTACAAATATTGTATCATATTCCTCTGGAAGTGATGTTTAATAACTTTTAAAACGTATTTATAAATCCATTCTTGGTAAAAGTACATGTGGATCTTGACCTGTTGTACATACATATATGATGTTATTTTATTTGAATGTGTATGTATCAGGGATGGCAAAATTGGTACGATGGTACTTTTTTTGATACTATTTGATGTTCAAAAGTACCGTTGTACTCCCGAGTCTTATTTGATACTCTCAGGGCCACAATCACAATATCCGATTATCGTTTAACAGATAGATAAAGATTTTTTTTATGATAAAAAATAACAGGTTAAAGTATATTTAAAATTTTAAATTCCAAGAGTGTTTTACACTCTAAAATATGCATGTAAAATTACTATTACAAAGTATGTAAGTTTTTTGCGAAAATTACAGAAGATGCGTAAGTTTAAGCATAAAATGTTTATAAGAATTAATTACAACATTATGCCTGCAAAACTACAAATAAAATGTAGTATTTTGGTTATTCATAAACATGTTTCCAATAAAATAAACATTTCGACTTTATAATTACACATGTTGGGTTTAAATTTTATATTTTAGCCCCAATGTGTGTAATTTTAATTTAGACGAGTAATATTGAAATGTCAAACAATTTTTAAAAAAATAAAATATTTCAACAAATAAAACATTTTCAATAAGATTATGTTAAGAAGCAATAGAAAAAATAATACAAATAGCAAAAATATTCAAAAAATTGTATTAATTTGGTCCACTTAAATGTTTCATGTCATATTCATAATCGGATGTACGAGTAAATATCCTATTTAAGGTCCCACGACGGATTTTAATTCTACAACACATATTTAAGCGATTTATTGACAATGAACAGTCGATACTAATACTTGTAGCTCAATTATTAGCATTAAGTTGAAATTCTAAATTCGTCCTTTTATAGGGCGAAATGTGGCCTAATTTTAATTAATGCCGGATTTATTAAAATATAATAAATTATATCATGACAGCTTTAAATTTAAGATATTTACATAGTACAATATCTGGCTAATATTTGAGATGTAAAAAGGTGAACATTGAGGGACGGACAAGGATACATCATATTAACATATAATGCCTTTCTACTTCTGTTATGGATTGTTTAAAAAAAATAAATGTAGTTAAGAAATTGCCATCATTTAGCAAAAAAAATATTTTAGTACTTTGAGATCCAAAAAAGTACCCTCTGAAATATTTTTTGATACTGACACAAAATCTCATTTTCCTTCCCTGGTATGTATTTTTTATATCAAAGTGAATATTATGAACAAATATTTTACTTTAATACTTATGATTGCCCATTATTAATTCTCACCATTTATCAAGTGTATACACAAATTGTTCTCGTTCATTTAAAACAACATTAAAATCACTTATTAAAAATAATGTAAGTAAATAACTAGTCAGGCCTATATTATGTAATTTCATTGGTTTATTTGTAAATACTTCCTTATAGCTACTTTTATTATTGCGGAAATCGAATATTCACTGTATTATAGTTCTTTTTACCAACGAATATTCTAAATCATAGAAGATAACGCCAATAACGACAAATTCTGAGGGGTAAGATTTTGCACATCTTTCCTTAGCTTATATGAAAACTCCTTGTAAGTAATTCTTTCTGACTAGGATTGAACTACACAATATGGGAATACATACATACATATGTATGTAGGCATGTTTGTATGTATGTAGAAAAAAACAATGGTCCCTTAAAAAAATAGCAAACAAAAAATGCAATAATTTGGTTTTGCTAGGATAAACACGTACAATAACAACAGAGGCTCCCTAAGATATTATGCAAAGGGTCACATAAGCGTAATAAAAAACTCATAACCAAACATATGCAATGTACACACACACGGTCATAGATACATTTATTTTTCTATTTCTTAAAATAGACGAAGAAAATCGCATTTGTTTGCTGGGTAAACAATGCTCATTGGTATGTATGTATGTGTATAGATTTTAGTTGTGGAATTTTTTGTCATGACATTAGCAGCATCCTTTTACAAAATGTTTGTATGTCCAACACGCAGCTTTACCGTTCGCCTCTTATTTCGTTTTTTATTAATTGAAAGAAAATCTTATTTAAAAATCTAAGGGTTGGAATGGAATAAAAAAACGTGTACTGTTTAGAATGTGAGTACGTTTTTTTTAGCTCACAGCGTCTGCGTACAATCTTAGGGGTCACGATGAACAATGTGTATAGTAATCTTCATAAAGAAACTAAAAAACATTAAGGAAACAACGAAATCTATATCTTTACCCAAACCCCTAGTCAGATGAACGCGTAATCTTATGAATATGCGATCTACATTGGCAAGCTGAGTTGTTGTATATTTTTATTATTGGTTTCACTGTTGTTTACTAGTAATTTGAGTAGAAAGCATCAAACAAAATGTTTTAACGAGAAATGTGAAACATTGTCAAGTAACAATAGGGGTTTTTATATTTTTTTCCCAGCGAATGTGTTCTAACAGAGGAAATATTTATATTCCTTTCAGATTCAATAAAAAACTAAAATTTTGGTGTTAAAATGCTCCAACTCCAGGTTCCAATTTGTAATTATAACGTTAATAATTAGGAAAATATTATTTTTGTTTAATACACCGTTGAACGCATCTTAAGAAAAGCTTTTATGATACCCCATATTTTAAGTGTTATTTAAAAAAAATTACAGCAATTTAAATAAATTACAAAAAAAAATTTTTTGCGAAACTAACATATAATCGAAGGAATAAAATTATTATATAATTAAAATTTTTATAACTTATAATGCTTGGTATATAACCCTTTTGCATTCATATTTGTTTGTATGGTCTTTCATTGTAACTAAACATATTGCGTATCTGACTAATTTTGAGATCCCGGAAAGGAAATTGCGCATTAAATCATTTGAAGATTTATCTCACTAAACATGAACCATATTTGATTGTTGAGCTCAATATTCTAAAAATGTTACTCTCAGCATCAGTTGAGATTGAAGATGTTGCAGCCGTATCATTTGGATGGAAGCAGAGCTCATTACAGCCAATCCATAGAGAGCTAAAATCATCCCCTTACTTCAATATATTCATAACACAGATACTTACACACACTATAGGTTAGTGGTGGTTGATGAAGGGAGACAGAGTAATATAATATTTAGTTGTGTGTGTGAGGACTCACATTTTTTTTGTTTATTTTTACGTTTGGGTCATCTACGATGCGTATGGGTCTCAGTCACCGTCAAAATAGTTAGAAGGACTGTCAAGGCAACGTATAAGAATCTATAACATCAGTCCACGTAAAGTCTTTGTGGGGTGAACACACTCATCAAAGAAAATTTTAATTTAAATAAAAACCTAAGAAACCGCTGAAAATTTATAAGAAATAAAACACATATTTGATTTAAGAAAATTGAAATAAAAAATATTCATTTCTCATAATTAAAATAAAAAAATCGAAACAAGAAATTATAGTGAAGAAATATAGAAAAAATAATTTTGAAATAAACTATATTAAAAAAATATTTTTATGAATAATTTTCAATTGTTATTTGCAAAACAAGAAAATACACTTGTCCAGTGATAAAAAATAAAACATTTTCCTACTAAAAATGTATACAAAGATGTTATCTATAAGCGAGGATCAAGGATTTCGTTCCCTAAGTCGTAAGTTAATTCCATACTTCTTCCATAAAATAATGCGTACTATTATCTAATAACTCAATATTGTGTGGGTGGAATTGTTTATTGATACACAGTCAATCCAAAAAGTTTTGATACACCACGATTTTCTCAGTGATCTGTTAATAATTTTGCTTTTATTTGTGGGCTGTTCATTTTATTAAAAATCAACGTATATTCATGTCAAAACCGTTTAGGTACAATAATTAGCTATTTTAAGAAATTATAATTGCAACCAATGTATGTTTGTACTTAAAGTTAAGTAACAAAGTTATGAACAAATCAATCTTGAAAATTGTGCTGTGCCTAAACTTTGGAATTACTATCTGTTGATAAGAATACTCAAAGATTTGACCGCATAAAACGTTTTGTTTTTATTATTTTGCCTTTTAAACGATCTTATCAGTTGATGTTACTGAAAGCAAGTCTGTTTGTTTACCCATCGTAAATGTATGTGAACAATAATGTGGATAATTTTCATAATTGACTCTACGTGAAAGTTTTTGTATTGCACATACATAGATACATATGTATGTATGTACGTACATACAATATACCTTAGTGACCAGAGCACAAAATATCCGTAATGTTATAAAATTATCAGATAAATGGAACTGTGGGTAATAAGAACTTACGGTCGCAAACGTAACACTGTTACTTCGTGGTATCAGTTCCACTGAAAAATAAATTATATTTGCATAAGACTTGTCAGTTTACTTAGTGATTATATGTATGCGGGTGTTATCTATTCGAATATTTATTTGGACCTAGTAACATTTAAAATTCATTTGCATTACGTACTATTTTCAGACTCTGTCTGATGGTGAGTGGTTATATGTTTTTGAAAATAAATTTTACTTTAAAGGTGTTTAACCTAAATACACCTGGTTATAGCAAATAACCTCCATTCATACTATATTATGTCTTCATTTATTGCTTGATAAGACCCATGTCACCTAACGACTACCCCCTTATTTTGTAGCCCAAAAAGAGGGTATTGCCAATACAATATTAGGGACACATTAATTTGTTGTTTAAATAATTTGTTTGAATTTGATTTGTATGAAACTAAAATTAAAGTCCATAATAAGTAATGTTCATTTGCAAGTAACATTGTTAGTTTATCTACGTATTATACACATTTAGTTATTCTGTGTAATCTGCATACATATGACAACACGTTCATTTGTATTTGTGTTCATTATATGTACATAAGTATGTATGTATAGTTGTATGTTTGAAGTTTAAAACTCCCTCGCTTCTTATCAGAATTTTTGTATTTGATGTGTATGGTTTCTTTTTTTGTTAACGCAGTTAAAGTAGTATCCGAAGGTAAAAAAATAACCAAAAACAAATACTTATTGTGTGATGACTGAAACAGAACAGAACAACAAAGTGAAAACATACCCACACATTTAAAATGAACGTGTGTGTATATAGCAGTTAAATGTGGCCCGATACAGCAAATATTTGCACAGTCGTTTTTTTTTTAAATTATGTTTTTATTCGGTTTTTCATTTCAATTATTTAGAATGGGGAGCATTTTTTAGATAAACTTAATTTTGTTTCACATGTTTATATTATTTAAATATAATACGAAATACAAAATATGACCAAACAAAGACACCAATGTACTTTATACAAAAGTGCATAAATACGTTCATACATACACACAAAATGTATGCATAAGAAGATAAATATGTATGTATGTAAGTCATTTAAAAACAGTAATGGTTCTACAAACATACATATGTACATATATAAAGGATAAGTGAATGACTGAATGGATTCACTTACAATTAAATACAATCAATGTAGCTTCAGTCTATGATATTTGATATGATTTACATAATAAGTACAAATACATACTTAAATACTTTATAGGCGCACTTTGAGATTTTCTTTTGCAGCACGTGTGTATGTGTGTATTTATGAATTGACAAAAATGAATAGCAGTTTGTTGAAAATATTTTGGGCGCCACTTAATAAATCAGCAACAAACAAACCATAATAAACATTCGTTCGTTCTTGACATGTGAATAAATTAGTATAGTCTAGTAGTAACGGAAAATCTTATCGCTGTTATAGTCAAACGTTTAACTTTTTTTACATACAATATTTATAGGACAAGTCTTAATCGCATTCCCTTTTCCTTAGGATTGTGTTAATTTTAATTCCATCTACTACAGTTCCAGTAAATATTCAGCACCATTGGTTACGCTCAAACTTTTAATATGCTAATGTCGATAACAGATTAATTATGTATCAGATCCATTGACTTAATTGTGGTAGAAGTTAAGTATACTTTCATGCATAATATGTTTGGCTAATTTGTTAGAACAGAAGTAAAATAGATTTAATTGCATTACATTCAAATGTCGGTGGTTGTTATATAAACAATTTCGGACAATTTTATTTAGTATTTGCCTACTTTTAATAATTCTCTAAATACGTAACACCAGTGAGTTTCGCAAATCTTTTATTAGCAAATATTTGGTTTTCATATTTCGATTTTTGAGGGGGAGGAGAATTTACTTTAATAATGTCACAAAAGATGACAACTCACTTTCAATAAATTGCGATTTTCATCACTTCTGAAAATTAAACAAATGCTCAATGTTGTTAAACAAACGGGTTTAGAGTTCTTTGTCCTTTAATTCAAAGAGTAGATGAATGGCTGGCTGGAAGAATGACTGACATATTACCCAAGTATTGAACAAACATAATAGCAAAATCTCAGTAATCTAGCCGTTAATATCACACATTAGAATTGCCATAACAAATGTTATTCAAACTGAAATAGAAAGGGTTGAATTGCAGTCACTATGCACGAAAAGAAACAACAACACAATAAAACTAAGTGGCCATCTGACATTTGACATATAGAAGAAAAAACATCAAACATCAGCTGTGGCTGGCACATTTATTGCCTAAAAGTCATCCATACAAACAATATTGTTGCAAAAGATGTAATAAAAAAACAAATGTATAGAGGTGGTGTCAAACGTTATAACAAGTACATTATTTTGTAGCTGCTGTTACCGCAAAAAAGGCTAAACGAATAATAGACTCAATAACCAATCACATTGAGATTTCTTAAAATTTTAAAACTCACGCACACAATTCATGCCAACCTCTTAAATTTACGGATGACCATCGGACATTTGGTATTTGAAAATTCCTTAACCATTTAACATATTTTCGATTTCAATTCACGACTCTTGCAATAAATGTTGTAAATTACGATTAAAGACTTACTTTTTCATTTTTCCGATGACTGATGACGCGCCCCTGCAATAAACCACACACAAATAAAAAATAATAAATATTTTCTGTAAAAAAGCAAAAAAGTCAAAATAATCATCATTATCAGCGTCGTCATAATAATAAACCACAACTAATAAAAAATAATACGAACCTTAAATATATCGTTTAGGAACTCATCCCAGTCAATCAGAAATTAATAAGTCAACTATGAATGTGTGTGACTTTATTATTTTCTATTTTTTGTTGTTCTACACATACATATCACCCCCAGGAAATTCGTAAAAAAATACAAAAAACAAATAGACAAACACATACAGTTAAAAATAATAACAAAACTAGTGATATCACAGCTTCCAGGCATGAAATTGTGTCCGTTTGTTTATTTTTTTGTCCGTTTTTCGGTCGGTTTGCCTCTGCCCACATACACACAATAGATATAGTAAGTTTTTGTTACATCGTTTATCATCATACTGTTTTGTTGTTTTTATTATTGTTATATATTGTTATTATTAGTATTATTTAGTATCTATATATGTACATATTTTCATTGTCCATAATTTAGTGTTTTATGTCGTACAGCACCTAATTGACAACTGGATTGCTATGCTTGTTTAATGTGATTATCCTTGTTTTATCAGGGGATTTTTGTTGTTTTTCATTCCTTCGATTTCACTTCATTTTTTAATATTGTGGTTTGTTTTTTGTATGTTTGTTTTACCACACACACAGCCATCAGTCGTATTGACAACTCAGGCAAGGATAATAAAATGCCTTTAGTTATGGGGCTAATCATGAAATCATCAGGGCAAAACTTTTACATATGTTCAGATCCATTGTGGACACAAGTACTAAACCAAAAGTCAAATAATATCAAACCCCAACTAAAAAGTTTTCACATTTTTTTCTTATTTTTTGTTTTTTTAGCTTTTATTTGGGAAGTGCGGGATGTTTGTAGAAGTAGTGTTAAATTGCCTATAGGCAAAAGAAATCAACCCCCTATTTATATTGGTCAAAGTTAAATATAGAGAAACTGAAAAAAGGGACAACATTTTAACAATAACTTGTGATATTGGTAAATTGTCCATTAACAAACATTGATTGGAATTTATAAGTTTGCACATTGATGAACTGAACTCTGTTTATGTTGCTCATATGTACAAGGACACCTTTTGCACACATTTATTGGTGCTTGTTATTTATGAAAATATTAAAGATTAAGATTTATTTTGTTATTTTTCACAAGTTGAGGTTATGAATAAATTTTGTGCAGAAAATTGGTTTAGATTTAATGGCAGTGGGATTAAATAACAATGATACAACACAAGCTAACTAATACCCCCACTTAACAGCAGAGTACACACATCTTGACTAAGCAATTGCCACACTATTGCGATAGACTTATCAGTTTGCATATCATTATCAGCATTCTTTTTGGGAAATCAATATACTGGGAATTAATTGCTTTTACGCATTTTATGAATTTATTACCATGATTTACACTCGTACTCGTATTGTTTCGGATGTACTATATATTTGTCGGTAGTACTTAAGAGAAATCCTGGTAATAGTATGATATAAATTTTACTGAAAAACCCACCAATTACTTACACTCACACTTATGTAGATTGGCATAAGACAAAAAGGCGCCCTAAAACTCATATGATATGCGAACGAAATGAAATAAGCTTTCTTTTGCTACTGTAATTGCCAATTTTGAGGTCAGGATATATCCGTTTTATTAGGACACCAATTTATTGAATAATTTATTAACCCTATTAAAATTGTGTGTGAATGTAAACGAACTAAAAGTGTTCTTTGTTTTATATTTCAAATAACAGATTCTGACTCCACAGAAGCAGATGGTACTGCTCAGGATATGCTAACGTGCGGAACATGTCAAAAAGTATTTGCTCTTTCTGATATAGTCAAATTTATACAGCATAAAGTTTTGCAATGTAATAAGGAAAACTATGGCCAGTGTTCCACCCAAGGTAAATTACATTACTTTTAAAGTATATTTATTTATTTATACTAAAATGTATTGTTATCCCTAGGCCCCTCAAATGACAGAGCTGATACCGAAGATGGAAGGCCGTTGGGTTTAGCAAATCGGCGTCCATCATTATCGGCAGCCACTCGCAAACAATCAAGTGGTTCTCGAATCCACACGCCACCACCTAGTCCAGCGGACATGTTGGCCGATGGTGCATCAAGTACACCAAAGCGTTTAGTAGATGGTAAGTTAAAAATAATAGTCTGCCTTTTAGAATATAGTACTTAACAATTACGTTTTTTCCAAAGAAAATGACAATACTACACCCAAAAACTCAGAATCTACTCTTGATGAGCTTAAATCCTGCAATACAGCCGTTATTAAACAAGAACTTCAGGATGATAATGATGCAGAGTCTAACAATGACAATGATGATTGCCAACCTGTGACAAAACGTCCTAAAATAGAGTTTGTCGATGCTGAATCAAATACTTTACATACAGGTAAGCAAACTTTGATATTTTGAACATTTTATGTTTATTTTTTAATTTTCAAACATAACTTCTGCCACTGTGAATAATTTAATTAAAATTCCAATGACCATAATCTCTCAATGTATCATCCCTTTAAAGTTGGATGTGTGTATGTATTTCATACTACAAAACTTTAATTTATCATTTTATTTATACAGTTATTTCATCTGGAATTTTTTACTATAAATACACACTTATTTGACCATTGACAGTATTGCAAAGTCAAAAGACCTTTGATAAAAATTAAACAGGAAAACAAAGACATTTGATAATAAAAAACGAGTACATCAGCAACATCAAAGTCAGTGTAAAATGTTGTCATGATGTACAAAATACAAAGATAAGCTGTCATTAACATGCCGGTCCATTATACGTATGTACATGCAGCATATGAAAATAACAAAAGTAATCTGAAAAATGAATAAAACATGCAACATACAATCCACCAAATACATTATTACACAGAACATAAAGAATCTTAATATTTAATATCAGTTCGACTGTCCAAAAATTAGCAGATACAACCCCTTTATGAGTAAATGCCATCAACATAAAAATACAAAACGTAACAAATTCAAGAGAAAAACCCTAAAAAAATCGGATGCTGTGTTCTGTTTTAAAAGGTCATGTTTATTTTTTTTTAAACAAACGAATTGACCTCTGACACACTTTATTATTTGCATACATCCATATATCATGCTCACATTACAAGTAAAGAATTCTTGTTAGTCTTTCATTCATCCAACAAACATGTTCATTTTTATGTTAAAAGCTAAAAAACCGAACAAAATTTAATCCATTATCAGTTGAGTGGTCAAACAACTCTGACCGTAAGGTCATCCCAAAAGGAGTGAGTAATACACACAGTTTCTCATATTTGCAATGTCTTTACACACACGCTTAACGTGTGCCACAAAGGTGAAATATTCCCGTAGTAGTTGTGATACTGGATCAATATTAATCAGCTAGTTACTCAAAAGTAACAACTCGAATATAACTAAATATTACATCAAATAGTGGTAAATATTTACGCAATTGTGATCTGCCATCATTCACTAGATTGTACAATATAAGTAGGTAGTACGGGGAGAGGGTTAACCTTGGATCCCTTTTAAAAACAATAAAACTTCCCATGTTATTATTTGGGGTACTATTGTGGTATATGTTTATTTTGTGTGTGTTTCTTTTTATTTTTGTTTGCCATTACATTTTTGCTTGGATGACCTTCCATTGAAAATACTTAACAACTGAAAAAGAGTTTTACTTAAACATCTTTCAATTTTGTTCCAACTCTACAAGTACATGACTATACATAGGAAGACAGACAGACGCAAAAACAATGTGTATACTCGAATGAAATGTCCTGTAAGAAACTTTAAATGACATTTCTTTCACTAAATCTATAACAATGAACATACGAGATGTTGTTGGTAGTTTTAATCAACTCTTGCTTACTCGGCATTCATTAGATTTGTTCAAGCTGAATCATTTCGTTGTTTTGTTATATTTTCTTCTTTGTGCCTTTTATTCTTGTTCTCGTTGTTCCTTGTTGTTGATATGTAAGTACTTAGGGATTCAACCACATGTGATTTTTCTTTGACCGCTTCAAGTTTTTTTATATGACATTATACAAATGATAACTATGTTTCTCTGTCATTTTTGTTTTGTCTTTTTTAAATTTATTTTCTTCTTTACATTATTTTTTGACATTTGTAATTGTTCATGAATGTTATACGTCCACATACATAAAATGTATGTATGGAAATATAAATATCTTTTACTTTTAAAAAGGATTCACTCATGATGTCATCTACGTTGACAATTTGTTTAACATTTTTTTTTCGAATTTATCTCTCTCTGTTTATTAAATTTAATTACAAAACCATGTAAAATAGCCTGAATTACTTACATACATATGTATATGTATGTGGGCAACAATCAGGCATACATCTATATTAAATAACAATAAATAAAATATGTATTATTGCACCATTTCATGGTAATAAAATATTCGCAATGATTGAATTGTGGTTTTAATAGCAATTATGTACTTTATGTCTAATTAAAACTCGCAACGACCGAAAATTTCTTCTTCGTGTTTTTGTTTATGGAAAATTCAATAATGAACTTATTCTGATATTAGTTTAATCCGCAAAGTGACTGACATATTGTATGAAAAATAATGAAAATTGATATAGTAAATGTACGAGTAGTGCATACATACTTAATCATACAAGCGAGTTGTTATACATGTCACTTGTGTTAACGGACAAAAAGGATGTGCAAAAGGGTTATTTCCGTTTTCAAACCCGACAGGTGTGTGAGTGTTTGTGAATATATTACGAGGAGGAAATTCAATAGAAATTTATTTTCATGTGGCATAAAAAATGTTCTGACGTAAATCGCCTTAAATCCACTGAAATATTTAACGAGCTGCAAAGCAAAGAGGATTCCAAATAACCGGTCATTTTCATATACATAAGTACGTATATATTCAAATGTTTGTGATTTTTAAGCTAAAAGCATTAGGGACATTACGATATGAAGTACTTTTAGAAGAAAGGATTACTATGCCTTTGATTATGCAACTTCACACAAATATCTTTGTATCGATTCTTATATATTTATATGTATATGTGTTTGTAACTCTATTTAAAAGATAAATAAATACATATTGCTATTAGAAGGCATAATCCGCTTTTTTTAGCTATATATGAGGCAAAAGTGAACAGCAACAATACATGTTATGTGATGAACAATACTTATGTTTTTCAATATTTTTGTAAAAGACAGAAAGAAAGTAGCTTGTTAAATTGAAATAATAGAAAAGTAAAACGCAATGAAATAACAACAATAGAAACGAACAAAGAATACAGCAGATATTATTATCACATCAAACACTGAAGGTTTTCGAACATATACATATATCAGCAGGCAACCAATTGTTTTGTTTATGGCTTTCTTGTCAAATGCGGTCACTTATCCCTTTTGTGCCAAGTGGTGGGAGTGCTGGTCGCTTGCTGTTTTCTCTATCATCGCTTCGCTGGCCACAACCAAAGGGTTTCCTCTTGAGCTGCCAAGAACAGTTCATGTTTTTATTACGTCTAAATATACATATTTTTTGTATCTTGGAAGGATTTGTAAGCATTTCTTTGGCAATAAGATATCCGTATATGTTTACTTTCTTGAACATAACATAGTAGTATGCTCCCGCTGATAGCTCTAAATATTTCACTCACAGTGTAATGCATTTTGCTATTAAGTGCAGTAGACCGTAAGTCTCATTTCGGTCCGTCCGTTCGCCAAAATAGTTTAAATGTCATCACATATCGCTATCACAATATTGTCATCAAAATCAGTTAAAATTTAAATAAAAAACTAAACAATATGTGTGTACTTCCTGTTAAGGAATGAAGATGGCTCGTGCGATGCTTACGATAAAATGCGTAAAAGCAATGAAAATATAATAATAAGTCGAATAGATGAATTATTTAGAGTTTTTTCTTAGAAAAATTTAAATTAAAAGCAAAATATCCGCGCATGCCATAAGTTGATATAACATTGTTTATAAAGCCCTTGTACCTCGAAAAAGGTAACGCATTTGCTTTCAACCCTTAGCATTCCTTTTTCCGTTTTGCTTATTATTTAATCATTTAGCTTTGTAAAGATGCGTTGTCTATACGTATCCCTTCAATTTCTCTTCATTTGCATGTGATGTACATTTATGCGTAGTTTTCTATATAAAAAAGGATTTAGACTACCCTTTTTGTACCCTCTGAATTTATAGTCAGATAACCTTTGATATTATGATTTCTAATTGAGAAAGCATAGAATGTAAAGGTTTAGGTGACAATGCATCCACGAGCTAAAAAGGTACTCTCTATCTAGTAAACTAACAATTCCCAGTTATTTGATATACTGTGGACTTTTTGCTGTACATAAATACTAATAAACAGTGTGACATACATATAACATTTTCTTTCGACCATTAAGTTTTTCAATTGCATACAAATCAAAGAAATCTTGCAGCTGCTCGTTTGATCCTTAAAAAATAAGATTTTTAAAAAATTGGAACTTACCATTAAAAATTGAGCAACCCCTCCTTCACATTAACAAATACATACACGCATTTAAATAAATATAAATACATACATATGTATATACTCGTTTAAACACATTTAAATTTATGAAAAATGTTGGCGGTAACTTAAAGTTGGCAGGGGATGATGGTACTGGAAGTACATAAAATGTGTGTGTGATGTATGGTCCTCATGGTTGTGATGATTTGTTCTACGTGCGGTTACATATTTATTGTTTTTAAAATTGTGTTACATTTTTTAAAATTGCGAATTTCACTCTTAATCGAATGGCAGGATTTGCAATTTTTCATTTTTTAGCAACATATGGTAGTGCCATCAAATTAGAAACATAAACACCGCATCCAGCCACCACAGTCTTGTAGATATGCACCATTTGTGAACTTCTCAGGGTCCCATTGCGGTAGCTCTATGTGTGTACTTTATATCTTATATTAATGTACACATGTGTGTATTTGTGTTCAAGTATTTCTTGAAATAACAATAAACATCACAAGTAACCGCAAGTTTGTCTACACATATGACTGTGAGTATGGGAAAGGGATGATTTAGTTTGATTATCTAAACCGCTTTCTAACTCATTTGTTACGGTTAGACAATTTAAAAAGCTCCAAATATTCTATGACGGTCATTTGTATGCGTTACAGCGTAGACAAACTTATAGTTTAGACTTAAAGACAAGTAAAAAGTTATCAATTCTAAGTCGTAAAGGCTATTATCGATCCAAAAGGCTGTTGTCACAATTGGCAAAAAATTTAATTGTATAATAAATATATGAACGTTGGCTAACGGAAGTTGTATCTACAGTTGTGTATGTGTGTTCATACATACATATGTATTTATGTACGTATATAATACACGAAGGCCCAACATTGTGGGCCGAATACACTAAAAATCTTACCATCTATAATAACATTTACGTATGATGTGCATTGAAGTCTGTAGGTTCAAACATAAAGACATGAGTGCGACTTTTTTCGTTCAGTGTGCCCAGTCTTGATCAGAAATTAAGGTGTGTTGCGTGACGTTAACTTTTGTGAATTTCCTCACTAACAACTATTTCAATAACGAGACTGACGACAATAGCTAAGCAAATACGATGATGAAGACGACGACGACTAAATTGTCTACCGACTTAAATGTTATTGGGAATCTTTACTGCCTACACACGTAGCGTCCGCACCTAAGACTCATTCATAATGAATGTTCCCCACATACATACACACATACACTTATAATGCAAAAATAATAACAACTGCAACAACAACTTTTCGAATGATAATAACAATTGAAATTAAAATTGCAATTGAAACAGAAACTCCATCGATAAACGTATGTATATACTACATACTTATGTATACATATGTATGTTGTATGTTCATCTCATGATTTTAGTCTGACGGCGATTCTCATCTTAGCAGTTGAGGTGCGCTTTTGAAAACATTGTCGCGTGGTTGCTTTTTTGTTGTATTATTGCTGTTATTTTTGTATGCACACATCACCATTGCGTTTTCGCACACTATTAATTATATTAATGAAATCATAGCGAGAGAGTAATTTTGGGATAGGTTAGCTTCTCATTTGCATAAAACACTCAAATATGTACTAAAGGCTTAATCTGTGGGAAGAAGACATCGAATTGAATGTTAAAACTTATTTTTTTTTTTGAGATTAGATGCTGTGCACTTTGTAAATTATGTATATATTTATCCATTCTTTTTTACTTAATTTTTGTTTTTTTAATACTTTTAGAACCTAGCAATTACACATGTTCGACATGCAAAACTAGACATTCTTCGGCATGGCGTTTAATCCAACATGTGCAACATTCGCATGGAGTTAAAATTTATGTTGAATCTACATCATCAGTAGACCCAACTCATTTGGTGTCTGAAGCGATAATGCCTGCCCAACAGAGAGAAAATAACTCGAACAACACAAGCAGCAGTAGTCCCAATAGCTCAGTATGCATAACATCGCCTATTATTGTTTGTAGTCAACAACAGCAGCAACATCATCAACAGCAACAACAACAGCAGATTCAACATCAAATGCATCACAGAGCTGCTGCCGTTGCCGCAGCAGCTGTTGCAGCGGAACAACATAAACAACAGCAACAAAATAATTTAACAACAGCTATGCAAAATGCACAAAATTTAGCTGCTGCCGCAGCTGGAATGCGGCATCATCCTCTGCTACCACCACCTGATATGCATTCTACAAATCCATTTAATTTATTGCGAATGCCTTTGCCACCAACTCTTGCTCAAGGATCAGTGGTTCCTACCGTTTCTCCTCTTTTCTCGCGCCCTCATGCAGATCATTATCGCATGGAGCAGCTTGTATCAGAGCAATTTCGTCATCATGGACTCAATCTTGCAGCCGCAGCAGTAGCAGCTGCCAACTCACTTGCTGCGCCCCATACGCCAACATCCCAATTTAACCAAAGTTCTAATGTCTCTTCTGTTGGATCTGTGGAGCCAAGACCACCATCTAGTAGCAGCTGTCATCGTGGCACAACAACACCCTCTTCATTACCGCTAATTACTGGTCAACAACAGTCTTCAAATGCTTCAACACAGCAACCTAATTCTCTATCAATCGAACCTCAGATGGATTTTTACTCGCAGCGATTGCGTCAGCTTGCAGGAACAACAAGTCCTGGAGCTGGAAACATTGTTAACTCGAGCTCGCCGAGTCCACGACAAAAGCAATCGCCGAACTTCGCGAGCCCTTCCCCATCGCATCAACTGCCACCTACTCCAGTCACAAATAACACTCGTCCGCATTCCCTGACACCACCTGAAAAGAGCAATATAGTGTCGGGCGAAAACGGAACGGTATTAAATACTACACCCCGCTCAGCATCGACGCCACCCTCAAAACCAAGTCAGGAATCTTCGGTTAGTGCATCAGTATATACGTGCGCTTATTGCGATAAAAAGTTTCGTTTTGAAAATAATCTCATCATTCATCAGCGAACTCATACTGGTGAAAAGCCATACAAATGCACTGCCTGTGATTTCGAGTGCTCGCATATTCAAAAACTTATGAAGCACATGCGTGTGCACCGCAGTCCTATGGAAGATGGTCATAGCAACACAGGATCGGTAGAAACAAATGAATGTGACACCGAGCCAGAACATGATGCAGAAGAAAATCCTGATGATGAAATTAATGAAGATGATGACGAGGAAATGGATGAACAAGACGAAATAGATTATGAAGCAGAAGATCTTAGTGTTAACAATAACCGTTTAGATGGTAAAAATGATAATCCAAAATGCACCGCTTCTGTTGCACCCACATCCTTAGTTGGTGAGCTAATGGACAAATTTGGTTTATCGAACATCGCTCAGTATTCGGAAGCTTACAAACAGGCTCTCCAAGAATCAAGTAATTTTAAACAACTTACCAAAGATCTAGATAACAACAACTCCGCTAGCTCTCCCATTAATCAAATGTCTGACAAACTTAATGGGTTCCCCGCCGCGTTACGCCTCAGGGAGGAATTTGCAAAGAATATATTCCAGAAACCACAACAGCAACAAGACTCAAACCATCCGCCATCGCAAGTTCCACTTTTCAACCCTTTCCCCAACCCTTTCGAAATTTCAAAACGCATGAAAATGGATGGAAATGAATGGTGGAATATGCAAACCCTACATCGCAACGATTCACTTTTTGAAAATCTCAAGCTTAAACCGCTAGGTCTGGGTCCGGCCAATTCATTGCTGACACAAAACCCTTTAATGAAAAAAGAGAGCCGTCAACGGAATGATACTTGTGAGTTTTGTGGTAAAGTTTTCAAAAACTGTTCGAATCTTACCGTCCACCGCCGTAGTCACACTGGTGAAAAGCCGTACAAATGTGAACTTTGCTCATATGCATGTGCCCAGAGCTCCAAACTTACACGCCACATGAAAACTCATGGCCGATCTGGTAAGGATGTGTATCGCTGTCGTTTCTGTGATATGCCTTTCAGCGTTCCCTCCACGTTAGAGAAACACATGCGCAAATGTGTTGTAAATCAGGGTAAGGCAGCAGCAGCCGCTGCTAATGCTGCAAATGCCGTTGTTGCCGCACAGGCTGCAGCAGCCGCTCAACTCCAAACACAAATGCCTGCTGCACAGCAACTTTCCTCCCCACCAACTAACGCCTCATTTCCTCCACAATTTACCAACATGGCTGGTAGCACAATTTCTTTACCCAGCAGTATTGGCGACAACGACTTCAATGCATCTACAAGTGTATCTTCCCAACACGCTATATCATTAAAACACGAGGCATGACTTTATCATAATTGGAACAACAGTTCTGGTAACTTAAATTCTCCGGCAGTTGTTCTGCAGTCACAGCAACAGCAGCACCTGTTGACACCTCCACAGCATCACCACCTTCAACATTCTCTTCCAACAGTGAATCGCATTTTGTCACGTATCTTTTAAAGATATTTGCCCACACTATAGTGAATTCTTGTAAATATAATGTTGTTTTCTAAGAATATTCGGAATATCCGAAACACCTAAGCTCACTTTCTAAAAGAAAGAGCTGGTTTTTATATAAACCTAAAATGTATGAAAAAGTGATGTCCCATTTTACCCGCGGTTACTTCTTTGTATCTCGTTCTCTTTACCAAAGCAATAAAACAATGAAAATGAACAACTGTAGTCAACCAGCGATGTAAAACACCTCTGCTGAAAACCCGTTATTTGAACGAGTAATTTTCATCACATTTCCCAGTAATATTCTTATATTTTATTAAGTTCTTGTTTTTTATAATTTAATAGTTATTACACAATTAAAACTTATTAGCTAATCTATAATCGCAGTGAAATTAAGTAGATGTTTTTCTTTAAATTTAGAAAAATCTTTAATGAAGAGGAAACAAACAAATTATGTGAGTAGTGTTCATTCGTATTTGAAATATTTCCATTATACATACATACATTTTTTTACCTCGAAATGTTGTGATCGATGAGAAAATCAAAAAAATTGTAAATAAACATTGATGATCCCTCCTTATTCAAATGGTAAAAAGTTTTTATGAAACGGTTTGTATGAAACATGTCAATGAAAAGCCAATATTTATATGTATATTTTTTCCTTTTTGCAAGTGTCTATTAATCCATACGCCCACTTGACAAACAGTTGTCCATTTTTTCAAGAGACTGAATTTTTATTGGTTTGGTTTTAGTTGTCGTTATGATTTTTAAGAATTTATTATTATGTGATTATCGTTATTTTTCGCTCGTTATATGTATCGCATTGTTTATTTTTGTTGAGATAATCAGTTTTGTAGAGAAGAAAGTTATGATAGATTGGCTAGCAAGAGAAACACATACCTGTTGAAAGATAAATATCCGATACAGGGTTGCTTTCCAAATTTAAGTATCCAAAAAATAAAATAATTGTTATTGGGGTGTTTTTTTTATTTTGTGAAAAATTCAACATTTTTTTAAGAAAAACTGATTTCAACATTTAATCATTCGTAATCATCTAAGCCTTTTGTAAATTATTCTTTGCCTTTTTAGTTTTAATTAAATTTAAATCGAAATGTACAAAACAATACCACTGTATCATACATTCTTAATTGAATATATTATTTCCTTATTATTTCTACATCTACTAGAAAATTTATTGTATTAAAAATTTAAGATTAATATGAATTAAAATAAATTACAAAACAAACATTTCAAAAACATACAGCGTTTTTCATTAATTTAGTTAGTTATTTATTTAGTTTCATTTAACGTTTCACATTGAAAAACTTAAAATCGATATTTTCGAACATTTAGCCAAGTAATTTTACTATATAACTCTGTAAAAAACTGTCGTCAAATAAATTCGTTGTAAAATAATAGTTTTATTACAGACATTGAAAAAAACGTTTTTATGGAAACAAGCAAAAATAAAAAAATATATTTAACGTGTATTTTTAAAATGAAATGTGTGCAAATACGTATAAAAATCAATATATTCAATATAAGTAGTAAATTAAGAGTTTCTTATGAAAAAGACAAAAACTTATTTATAGTTGTATGTGTTACAATTTCATAATAATAAAATAATTATAAAAGACAAAGAAAATATTAATAAAATAAAACAATATAAAACAAAAAATATTTAAAAGTGTGTTACTTGTTTATGTTTACATAGTGGGAATATTCAATAACTGAAAATTGTTACCAGGGATGGGGGTAGTACACTAATTTTTAACTATCACTAATAATTAGTGGTAGTTCAAAATTATTCACTACTTTTGTTTAAGTTTAGTGATGAATTGAAAAATATAAGCCTCACTCAATAATAGTGATAGTGATATTTAAAATTTTTAACTAAAAATATTTTAAAAATAGTTAAAATATTTGTTTTTACAGCCTAGTGAAATAATTTTTTCTACACTAAAGTATTAGTTCAAAAAATATTCCTGCACTATTTTTTTTTTCTACGGAGAAATGTTTCACTCAATTGAAAGTTTAAGTTAATAGGTCAGTCTAGAAATGGTTCAAGTCAACCAAAAACTCATTGGACGAATATTATTAATGAATAAAGCTTTCATTATTTACAACATTTCCAAGCTATTGCTTAAAAAACATACAGTAACCACATCATTTTTGCAACTGGCTATCTAAATCAGTATTTCCTATTTTAATAGATGTATCTTTAAAAAAATTTAATCATTTATTGTCTTACAAATTCTTTAATTTTCATTAAAAAAATTAGTGCAAAGAAAATTATTGCAGCCTTTTGTTAGTTACTGTTTAAATTTTTAACTATTTGAGTGTAGTGCTTTTTTCTACACTACCACTCAATTGAGTTATAGTTAAAAAAATAAAATTATCACTAAAAAAAATATTCGTGCTAAAAATATAAGCTTCACTATCACTAAGCTGCTGAAAATTAGTGAAAAATATATTTTTTGAAATAATATTTAGTGCTAGTGAAATATTGATTTAACTAAAAAAATAGTGCACTACCCCCATCTCTGATTGTTACGCATTTGGACGATTTAACCCTTAATTACCTAACAATTTTTTCAATTACAAAGTAGATTAGAAAAGCGTGAATATGATATATCATTAGTTTATGAAATGATACAAAATTCTAACTTAATACTTAATTTTTAATTTAAAAACGTGGCCGACGTTAGCTGGTTACGTTAAAAATATGTTATACAGCGTTATAGAATAAAGAAGAGGAAATAATTCTGTAACTTCTAAACGTTTTAACCGGTGTGTGTAAAACTAAATGGAGTTAAATTTTAGCGCAATCGAAACTCTAAAGTTTAGGGGATGAAATGGGTAAAAAAGGGTAAAATTGTTAAACTTTATATCTTCTAAAGGAGTGGAGATATAAATAAAATTTCAAATACATATATCCTCTATTATACAAAAAAATAATTGGCAGATGTCTGGTACTTTTTGAAAAATCAGGAATTTATAGAGCTAAAAGGGTAAAAACTTTGCCCATAGAACCTTTTCTCAGCCTTTTTATCTTCTAAACAAATGACTATACAAATACAACTTTTAATGTATTCTATTCTAATCAAAAGCTACTGGAATCTTTTCGGTACTTTTTAGAAATTCGGGTAACGAAATTATAAAAACGGCGTCTAAAATTAGTTCTTTAAAAAAAATTATTTTCTCGTTAGAATTATGAGCACAACCAACATTGCCGTTTTGGGCTTTTCCTACCAAATTTAGTAGGATTTTTTTCATTTGGTAGGATGGTAGTTTAAATCGATTTTTGGTAGGTTTGACAAAACACATACTTCTAAAGAATTTTAACAATTAATTTATACATTTATTTACTGTATTAAAATATTTAAATGGAGTTCGGAATAACGCCTAATAACAGGACTTAAGGATTGAAAACTACAGATCTTTCTAGAGCCATTATTTTTTTAAAACAATTTATATTCATTTTATCACAAATTTCATCATAATTTTTTGAAATTCGGAAACAAAGAAATAGTTTATGACCAGGGCAAGGATTTGTATGCAAATGCATGTTTGTTGTCAGTAACTCAAAATAACTTTTAAGTAGTTTTCTTTTCGAATCAAAGAATTTGCAACAAAATGGCATCGATTTGTTGTTGCATATTTTGTTATAAATGCATAAATTGTATATTTTGCTTTAAAATGCATATATTTTGCACATTTTTATAGCACATTTAGCATATCTTTTAATTTTTCGAACACAAATTGTGTTTTTTGTATTACATATTTTTAAAATTCAAAAAAAAAAATATATATATATATAAAAATAATTAAATTTAAAAAAAATTTTAAACAGTACAGAAATATCTATCTAAACTCGTTTGGACAATTTTTCCAGGACCAATAGGAGAAAAGTTACAGTCATTTGAAAAAAGCCTGTATGACCAAAATGTCAAATCCATTTTTTTAATTGGGTCACTTGACACGAAATCGTGATTCTGTTAAATTGGTATTAGAGCACATTAAGCGGTATCTCTGTCATCAAGAACCTACATATATATTTGTTGTCAAAAATTTAAATTCTAACGCTTGTATTTATAAAAAAATCTTATTTTGCTTTTAATGCACTCAATAGTTAAAGCACACTTTAGCCTTAAAAACCATTAATAAAATTGTGATATTCATAAACAAATAATAAACGTATATTAACTATTGTGCTGATTTATGTTTAAGTTGGCAGCACTGTACAATATGGCTGTCATTTTATGTGTTAGTGTTGCGTACAATTAGGATAAAATATTCGTTGATTCGGTTTTCTTAATTTCATATTTTTGTTTATAATAGATTTTTGACAATAAAAACAAACTTTTAAGAAAAATAAATATATATATGGCTTTAATAAATGTCTATTTAGTTCAGATGTATAAATATAACATATAATTTCTAATTATTATTAAAAGTATCCGAATAACGGATATTTTGCGACAAAATATACATCACTATGACACATTTTCTTATTTTTACTTATTTTCCTTGTAATTTTTGATAAATTTTTGCAAATATTGATAAATTTCTTTGATATTTGACTAATTTTAATGCCGGCGAATATATTTTGCATTAGTATAACACTAATCAATATAATTTACATGGTTAATTACTTTGGCATTATATTTAACCAACAAACTTTGAAAAAGCCAAATCAAATGATTTTGTCCATCATTTGATTGACAGACGGGCATTTCCAAATTTCCTAAAAATAGTACTGGACAATTGAAATATTGTCAAATATTCATGCATTAATCCAATAATGCCTAGATTTGAGTTTTTTCCTCAAAATATAATCGTTTAAAAATTTTCTGGGATTTTATTTACAAATTTGTAAACGTTAAAATTAGAATTTTTAGATTTTATTTTAAAATAAACCATAATTAGTTTTCGCAATCAACCTAAAATTACCGGAAAAATCTTTATCTGAGAAAAAAATTGTTAAAAATCAACTTATTGTTGGCTTAAAGAAGGGTCGAGCCTACAATAAAATTCTTCTAATTGTCAATGGTTTATTGAAGGTGTTTTAAGCTATTTCACGTTTATAAATACGATTTTCCTGAATTTTGCCTAAAATTGTTTAATAAACCTAAAACAAGTTTTTATAAATACAGCCGTAAATATCTATAAAAATGTACTTAAATACGATAAAAGAAAAATTAGTGTAAATAAATAAATTTCACAAGGATATATTTTTTTGGTGCTTATTTTTCACATTTTTAGTGCATATTTTCCCATTTTATAGTGCATGTTATAAGCGCATATTTTTCATTTTTTAGTGCATGACAATCATTGCCTTGTTTATGACAAATATTTAGAACTCTATTGTCAAAAACAGGTCCATATTAATATTATTCTGGGCTATTTTATTTGAGAGTTATAGAACCGATATTATGATTTTTGGGTAATTCAAACTGAGTTAGGGTAAATTTGTTTACAATTGATACATAACCATATTTTTGAGCATTAAAATGATTTTCCAAGAGTTTTTCGATTTGTACCGGGGGTGGATGACATCATGGATCGATTTTAACTATTATATATAGCAAACTAACGAATAATTTTAATCCTTGATATTAGGTACAAGGTATAAAACTTTCCTGTGGCTAAATCGTTTGGGTTTTACAAAATGCATATCTTCAATTACGTTTCCCAACACAAACAGCGTTGTCAACTTAGTGCTTTTAGCACTGTTTTTAGTGCTTTTAAACATTTTCGACGCGAAGAAACTTCGGGTTAGTGCCAGTGCTTTTTTAGTGCTTTTTCAAGAACTTTGGCGGCACTAAATTTAGCATCTAAACAGTAACTTTTACAATTTTTTTTCTAGGAAACTATAAAATATTTAAAAAATCGTAATTTTTTATGTAATTTTAATTTAATTTCTTAAAATTATCTTGAAATTGTTAAATATATCATGAATTCCATGAGAAATCAAATAAGAATTGACCGATGGTCGTCAGATTTCTTAATTTTTTGTAAACACCTACTCTATTAGACTCATAAGACATATCAACGTTAAATTCTTAAAAATTTCAAGAAACGCGATATTTATGGCGATTTTAATTTGTTCTATGATTTTGAAATTATCGGTTCTATGTGTTTTAAATGAAAGCGTTTTTCTGCCCCTATTTCTATCATTTAGGTAAAGTGAAGAAAGTCTGTTAACTAACAGTACGATAACTAATTTACAAATTAGGGAACTAAGGACGTTTAAGTCAATTTCGGAGGAGCACCAAAACCCTTTACGGGAGGCATAATTGCATGGGGGCTAGGTGAATAATAGACCGATTTCCAACATTTTCAATAGGAATCATCAAATTATCTTGAACATTACGACAACATTTTTAGATTTTATTTTAAAATAAACCATAATTAGTTTTCGCAATCAACCTAAAATTACCGGAAAAATCTTTATCTGAGAAAAAAATTGTTAAAAATCAACTTATTGTTGGCTTAA